TGATTCGGATAAAAACGTCTTCATCGGTTAAAAAATATAAAATTCTTGATGTCTAGTAGGAACTTGATTATATTATATTTCTATACCTAATATGAGTTTAGCTCAGTAATACTATTTTCGGTTTCAGATTCCGTGTGGCACTAGTACCGTAGGTACTTAGGTATGCTTCTACTTACAGGTTTCTGAGAAAAATATAATTTAATTGGTCTAATTAAGACAATAAACTAGAAACAATCATTTGATTAGGTCTGAAATACTCAAATGTCACTCAATTGTAACTCGCGCTTAAGTATAGTTCTGTCCCTACAAATTCTTTGTAAAATGACAGAGATGGCACGATATTTAACTACAACATAAAATAGAGTAGCCTTTCAGTATTGGGGCATTAGTCACTTAGATGTTGGCCCATTTTAGCGAGTTATAAATATGCTAAATAAGTACCTATTGCCTAAATTAAACGACAATTTTTCTGAAATGTAGAGATATTAAATAGGCTACTACATCTTTTAATTGAATGGTATTTTCTTTCTGTCAATTTCTACTAAAATAGAGTTTATTTCATAATAATATTAATTAAATAAGAAACAATTTTATCTTCAATGTTTATTCCCTTATTTTCTGATGACTACAATTCTTGGTTCAGAAGTTGCGTCAGTTTTATAGAAGCCACGTGCCGAGTTGAAAGTTCAGACTTATGCGTAAACATAAGTAATTAACGGTTATTAGCCCTTTGCAATAACTTGTAATATTATTGCCTAGGATAGGCCTTTTTTTCTTTTAAGGGGGAAAAATCATCGAATGACTGCGCCCGCCTGGGTGAGGCGGGAGGGAGTGTTAGACTCTTACTGACTAAAAACTACCCCGTTCCTTCTTCTACACGTCGAGCCGGAGCCCCGGTTACCCGTTAGGTTCTCCGCGACTCCGAATCGGCATCGGCCCTATTGGGCCCCATCTGTGGTGGTCTGATGGCTCTTTGAGGCGCGCGCGGAACGCGACACGCCGCCCGTACGCTCGGGTCTGTTTCTGGTCGGACGGGGAGCCACCCATGCTCGCCGTCCGGTGGTGGCTGGGTAACGTGTTGCCCCGCAACGTGTCGCAGGTTCGATTCCCGCACGGAGCAACACTGTGTAATGCATATATTGTTGTTCCGGGTCTGAATGTCATGTGTATGTGAACTTGTATGTTTGTAAACGCACCAACATCCTAGTATGGGGCAACGTATTTTAAAAAGAGAAAAAGACAAGAGAAAACTTTTACGCAGGCGAAGTCGCGAGCGTTCTGCTAGCATCTCGTAATTTGCGAAATAACCAAGTTATATTAATGTCCTATATTAAATTGGTGGACTAAAATCAAGGTTTGTACAGACGACTTCATTCACGCGTGCGATAACCCGCGCTCACCTCTTGTGTGAATTAAGCCTTATCTTGTGAACACTTGTGAATTCGACGGTTTGTTATAATTATAGGACTTGTTTAAGTTTATTTGTGTTCGTTTTATTATATTAAAACTTTGATTTTGTATTTAAATGAGTGCAGACTGCAGATTTCGATAGCTTCGTCGTGCAGTTGTAGGTGGATTAACAAGGAAGACCTTTCTATAGGATTTTTAAGGGGGGGAAATCATCGAATGACTGCTCCCGCCACGTCGAGCCGGAGCCCCGGTAACCCGTTAGGTTCTCCGCGACACCTTTCTATAGGATTGGACGTCTCTACCTACCTACTACACATGATGAGTGTACAGTTATCGTTATTAGCAGTATTCTGTCCCCAATCCTTTGCTTATCCCATAACAGGAATACTCATAATAAGGTGGTGAATAATTACCTATGTAGGAAACCAGTGTCCAAGGAGCTGGTCTAAAATCCTTGACGCCGGATGTCTCTTTAAGCACGTTGTCTTTCCATGTGGTCGATCCACCGAAAAATAAAATTCATTGCTTCAAAAATGGAAAATGGCAGTGGTCTTTTCTTGAATTTCAAAAGTGTCCAAGTATCGAACTGCCTAGGTTTTTTTTTAAGGGGTAAAGTCATCGAGTGACTGCTTCCGCCTGGGTGAGGCGGAGGGAGTGTCAGACTCTTACTGACTAAAAACCACCCCGTTCCTTCTCCTGCGCGTCGAGCCGGAGCCCCGGTAACCCATTAGGTTTTCCGCGACTAACTATCTGGGTTACGTCGAAGATACCTCTTTTTTTCGTATTTAAATAGAAGATTTTTAACACAAATATACAACATGTAACGTAATTAACGCACAGCCTCAAACACCCCAATTAGAATATTACCTCTATGTTGTAATCATAATACATGCACTAAATTTTTAATTTAACATGTATATGCATCCTTACTGGTCTTGTCATAAGGTTTATTTTTCTTTATTTTGTATTGAATGATAGAATTTGTATGAATACAAATAAAACTGCGATTTTAAAAGTCTTATTGCTTTGACTTACGGTCCATTTCAATTTGTTTTAACAATACACCATGACAATAATTTCCGTAGTTTTAATTAATTTTGGGAAAAAAAATAATCTATACTAAAAATTATATAAATCGATTCCGTTAACGATTCTGAACAAACTATTTTCAGGATGTGCGTTATTTAAGTTACATGTTGTATAACTCAAAGTAGCTTCACACTGCTGTTTTGTGACTAGGGACAATTAATGAGTCATATAAAAGTGTAAAACCCAGCGCATGGCATAACCACTAACCCATGATAAATTACAAATGGACAATAATATTAAAGACACTATCCAGTATCCAGCTAGGAACACAGATTGTCCTCGTTTCCTTTTCCGCGTACATATCCCGTTATTAACTGACAGCACGTTAAACTATACCATCCTAACAAAAATATTTAAAGTATATTCAACTCTATATCACAAGACATAAAGTTTAAAATTAACTGAAGGAATTTGCTGTTGAGGATAGGTTGATGTGTGTTTGTACATTGTCAGAGTACTAAACAGCTCATTGAGAAACTACTGGGTATTGTTATCAGATAACACTAGGTCTTTGAACCCGCGAAGTGTTTGTTTTAACCACGTTTAGATTGTACTTAGGTATAGTCATTTTTAATTATTATAATGACCTCAATTACAGAGGCGTTTGGAAACATAAAGTGCTGTTTTTTAACTAAACATATAATAAACTAGTATAATTATAATAAGACTGCCTCGTTGGCCGAGTGGTCGCAAGTGCAACTGCCGGGCTAGGCGTCTCGGGTTCGATTCCCGGGTCGGGCAAAGTATTACTGTTTTTTTTTAAATCTCAATAGTGGCACGGAGTCTGGAAATGTGCCCGGTATATGCCAATAGGCTCACCCCCTATTACATGGGACTCGTAACATAAGTAGTGAAAAGTGGGTGTTACATTGTACAGTGGCATTATATGCTGTAACGTGCACCTCTGCCTACCCCTTCGGGGATAAAAGGCGTGATGTTATGTTATACAATAAACTTAGTGGTGGTGGAGAAGATTTTAGTGTATTAATTAAATTACTTCAAAAAAGAGGGGATTGATATACTTAAACGTAGTCTACAACAGAATTATTGATGATGTTCATTGTCTGGGTCCCCTTTCATCACTACATACTTACTTAGTAACAAAGTCGCTATCCGCTGTCTGTCTGTCCCTATGTACGCTTAGATCTTTAAAACTACGCAAAGGATTTTGATGCGGTTTTTTATAGATAGAATGATTCTTAAGGAAGGTTTATATGTATAATACATGCATAGGTATTGCACCCGAAGTCGGGGCGGGTCGCTAGTCATAAATAATACAACAACCTCAGTCACAAAATAACTTTAATTAATTTATCGAAATAATAATATTTACACCACCTTAATTATTAAAACTTATAATTTAACTACTTATTCGAAACTAAATGCATACAGTTTTTTGATCTCGCATTCGCGTCGCGAAATCTCTTATTGCACTTTACAACTATATTTTATTGTCATTTAAATATTTTAAAAGTTACATTAATGGACAGATTTGTTTTTTTTAAATAGTCTTTTTAAAAGGTTCTGAAACTTTGATTCCAATGCAGACAGTTGAACTGAATAAAATCATTATTTTTTAACAACATTAACATCCTTTAACGATAGCAGCGCCTCTAGCGTTCTATTTGTGTACTAATAAATGAATCATAGACAAAAAGAGGTTATTTTGTTTTTTTATGTTCATAGAGATTTTCCAAAGGGAGATAAGGCATCTCAATTTTATTGAACTTAACGTTAGCTTACATTTCAAATTCAATAAATATTTGTACGTGTTGTAGTTGATTTGTGATGAATAATTTTTTTGATGTACAGAAAATATTTACAGAGTTCGTCTGCAGTGGAATCATAATGTTTATAATAATGCATTTGTAAATATCTTAATCAATAATTTTGGAAGAATATAATTAAGGCACACTGTGATAATATAATATGTACAAAAATACAGTTTATAGTTATTTATATTCATGCAAGTCGTTCAAAATTCGATTCATTTCATTCAGATATATGTAGAGATAGTATTAATTTGTTTATTTGACCACAATTTGTGAATCGATTAGTTTATTAAGTAATCACAATTCTCTTAACGAATACATTTCCATTTTATTGTACTTAAAAACTACATCATTTTAATTCAAAATTCACAATAAAATAAATATGTTCGTTGTTTTTTTTAATAGTTGCTAAAAATGGTCACTTTTATGCATTGTTTCAATGAGATTGATTAGCTAAGGGCTGGCATTCGACCATGATAAAAAGGAGTTACTAAGTCAGAAATACAATTAAGAGATTTACAGTTCTAAAAGTTAAGAATAAGGTTGAAAATCTATTAAAGTAATTCACGACTAAACGACCGAATTTTGTCCCTATTTTTTTCGGGACAGCCAGCCCTGTTTATGGCAAACATTTTCTTCAAAAATAATGTTGACATTAACAGCTAATCAGTTTGCAACATCTCTTCATAAAATATTCACTATTTAACTAAAATATTAACTAACGTTACGTCACATATTACTTTCCCAAAGTTTTAAATAATTGTCTATGACTTCTTCAAACCATTTCTTCTTCTTCACGTCCTTAAATGCAGGGGATAATGTCTTTAATTCTAACTGCAATAAGGCTTCGTTTCCTAGTAAGGTGTCCAGACTCCTAAGTAATGAAGGTTCTCCATGCAGCTTTAGTAAGCTGGGGTATGAGAAAATATAGTAGTGAACCCTTAGGCGCTTCATCGCCCAGTTTTCTACAGTTTTATTGCCACTAGCCACCTGGAAAAGAAAATGTTTAAATTATGTCGAATTTGGTATATAAAATGGAAAAAATAATTTCGAATGACTCATGGAATCCAATGATTGAAAATTATGAAGAGAAACTGAACTTAAAAAAAATGGACTTATGGAATGTAGTAAAGTTTAATGCAATGTGGACGTTATAATGAATGAAGAGAAGTTTTCTGCAAAAGCGCCATCTAGCTAGCGTAAAACCAAAACTTCAATTACAGATAACAACAAAGTAGTCGTATAACGATTGCTTGCGTTAGTATGCTCCCTAGATGGCGCAAAAATGCGTGAGTTTCTTAAAAAAAATCTTGTGTCGAACTATTGAACAGTCAGTTTTAACGGCTATAGCGATTGGACAAATTATAGGCCAAAAGGCTAAATTAGTACAATTTGGCAATGTTTACTTATATTACCTTTATCTGGCCTATATGCTTGGCATGCCATGGTGAGAAGTATCCTTCAAGTTCCTTAGCCGTTATATCAGCTACCCCTTTACTTTTTAACCTCTCTTTGATCATAGAGTATGCCGTTCTAGAGAACACAAACACCTGGAGTGAGAGCATAGACAAGATATCATGTTTCTATTCTAATTTTAAAATTTTGTTGCGTGTACTCCAGGGTTGTGTCGAGGTTAGACTGTGGCCTAAACTTCTTTTCATTTGTTTTATTTGTTCTCTCTTTTTGTTGCGTTGGAATTAGAATATTCTCTCTCTTTCTTTTACAGTTTTAACATTCTCTATATCTTAGTTAAAGTGGGAATAGGTCACTTGAGATTTCGTACCGAAAATCCACACAAAAATAGTCTCTAAACATCGGAAATAAGGCCGATAATGCAGTGAGTGGAGAGCGGTCACCGGTGACCGCTTGGGAATTGACCAGTTGAAGTAGATTTGCTTTACTTACCATCTTACCGATATTAGAATATCCTAAACGTCGTTACGTTATGATTCTAGTTATATTTTCATCTATCTTTCCAAATATTGCGTTTATCATGCATTACATACGTAAACAATTTATAATTTAACAGGTATTAATGACGAATATCATGATAATGACAGACATTTCGATGATTACGATGACGATACAATAATGATAAGAAATAGAGAAAGAGAGAGAATGTATGGAAAGTAAATGATATCCATGACGATGCTCATGCATAATGACATTGATTTAAATTCGTATGAAATGAATGAAAAGAAGTTTGTCGATTATGAATTAATGCATAATGTCATCCATGATTGGTAGAGATGGTGTGTTGTATGGATGGTTCATGCATTATTTAGCCTGATTCTACACTTTTTGGATAACGCTGAAGTAAGACCAAAGAATTCTAGTTAAATTTCAGTGCTTTATTAATAAAACTTCCGATCAATAGAACTTTATTTTAGCACGTAGGTACTTTAAGTAGCATGCATAACTTCTATCGACTGGCTCCTTAATTTAGCGACTAATAATGTATAACGATACTACTGAGTCTTCCATTTATGAATGTGAGTGATACTTTAGGAAGGATTCACACATTACAAGACAAAATCATTTAGAAACTGCAAATTACAGATATAGACGTATTAACAATCTTATCCACAATGTATGTAGAATCAGGCTCCAAGTGACACACAGTCCAAACCTTGACAGCGCCAACATGTTCGGCGAAGAGTGGAGAGAAGAAGTTGTTCATCTCAGAGATCGGTATGTCAGAGATACCTCGGGACTTGACGCGTTCTTTAATCCTGGTGTACACGCCACGGGAAAACACAAATACCTGGAGTATTGTGAACATGTTAATTTAAGTATATATATTGTATAATTTAAGTTTAAGGTCAAACTTGCACTATAAAATAGTAATCAATTCTATGACACTTATTTAAGTGTCATATCTCATGATGAAAATAGTGAGCATATAAATTCAGGGGTAAGATTTCATAGGGCGAGGTTTTCGATTTAGAAATTCTTTATAGTTGGCATAGTCGATTGTAGTTCTCGATCTGTGACTAAATAAACCTTTCCTGCCCATTTCTTGCATATTTACTTTATACATATGGTAGGTATACACTAATGATTAGTAAGTACCTATTTTAGTCGCCTTTAAGTCACAATTTCATTAGTCATATTTAAGAATTTAAACTGATCATTAATTTAAACCCCAAATGTTACTGAAAGGAGCTTAAGAATAAAATTAAACAAACAACAGGTACCTGATATAACGAGTTGCCAGTGATATACGACGCAATGTAGTGGGAACCGTACTTTCTAATAAAATCAGCGATGGATGCTGTGTCGCCTATGTTGGCCTCCTGTATCGCGTCATAGACTACATCCTCCACGGCTATATTCCCTGGCAAATCACTCAATTTGGCTGTTTCACGAAACCTGGAACATCATAAAATAACATTTAAATTGGGATGATGACAGGGTATGAAAATTTAAAATATGATTAGTCCGTAAGTTAGGTAATGAAAAAATATTAGACACGTATTTTTTATATTGTCGCATAATAAAAAAATACTTAGTAAAAACGAATCAAAGATCAGGAGTGGGGGCTAAAACGTCATTTCTACCTACAAAATGTACATAGAAGTGACGTCACGCGACATTTTAAATCAATATATCGTTGAAAGTGTTTGTTTCTGTAAGAAAATAAAAATATGTGTCAAATGATTTACAAAAGTTCTACCAGAATTAAGATTACAAATAGAAAACATTAAAATAAAAATTAGGCATCTACTCTATTAGGTGCTTATTTAACTTAAGTAATACCTTGTTGATTTAAGATTGAAATGAGGCCTACTCTGGGGGTTTTGTTTTCGAGCAAATTAAAATAATTTTCCTGATGAATGAAAGATTTTCTGCAGGATTACCGCTTGTAAAGAGAGAATTTAGCACAGTATCATGCTTGTTTGACAATTACTTGTCCAAGTATCAGAAACAAAGCCAGGGTTACAGACAGATAGCCAGTAGGTACGGAGGCCATGACACAGAACAGAAGTTGGAACGGGTTGGTTTTTAGTCGATAAGAGTCTGACATTCCCTCTGACTTCACTCAGGGCGGAAGGTCATCTGATGGTTTAGGTAACATCCTTCCAAAAAAGATGAAGAGTTCATACATTACCTGGAAACTCTAACAAGAACGTAGCAGTGATCTCCATTGATGAAGGAAGAGTTGATGCCTAGGTTTCTGGCCATGATGTCCGTCGGCCAGCCAGCAGTGAATGCACGCCATGGACGCTCTAGTCTGGAACATCAAAATCTAGTGTTAAAAATCAATAATTTTAGACAAAGCATACATGAATAGGAATATTAATTGAGATTGTTCTGTTTTAATTAACTGCCAATTTCAATAACCTATCTATCGGTAGATTTGCTTACTAGAGATAGAATTTTGACATGAGCTCCTTACAAAATGTGTAAAAATTCTATCTCTAGTAAGCAAATCTGTTAAAGGATAAGTAGTAGATTACTTACGTTTTTGGGACAGTGCGAAGAACCTTAACATGCCATGGATTCAAGCTAGTTTTGTAAATGGTAGGATGAAATTCCATGAGGGTTTTTTCAAAACGAGTGTAGAAACAGGCGCATACCATGGAATTGCATACGGAGTGGATGGAACTTTATTCTCCTGTTAGGCTTAAACTCCAGGTAACTATTAAAAGGTATTATGAATGTAATTTCTTACTGGTTGTACTTTCCTTAACAAAAACTTGAATAAATTTGGTCTTACCACGCATTATTTCCAACCTAAAAAGTAAAAGTAGACACAAACATGGTCACCGTCACCCGTACCTTTCAAAGCTAAAATCCCTAAAGTAAGCCTGCAGCAACTGCTTCAGGTTATCGCAGAACTCCATGTGGAAGTCTCCGTCGAAGAGTGTCTTCGCGTGACGAGGAGTTGGCGCGATGGAGTACTGTTCCACCTCCCTGAACACGGAGACTGTGGGCTCCCTGAACACCCAGCCTTCCGTGTCGTTGCGAGGGACCACCCGCATGCAGATGCTGAGGTAGCCATATCTGGAAGATGTTGAGAAATTGATTAATAATCTTGTCAATATATTTTGGCTGACCGTTTTTTAAGTAGGTAGTGTTGTTTCTTTGGATAGAAGGCAAACAAGCAAACAGTTACACATCACCTGATGGTAAGCAATCGGCGCCGCCCTTGGACAATAACATAAGAGAAGTCAGAAGAATTTACGCTGCTTTTTAAGGGATTTGAAGATTGGGAGATTTAGGGATAGTAAACACTACATAGTATAAAACAAAGTCGCTATCCGCGTCTATCTGTCCCCATGGATGCTTAGATCTTTAAAACTACGCGACGGATTTTGATACGGTTTTTTTAATAGACAGAGTGATTCTTAACCCTTTGAGTACCGTCATTATAGACACAATTAAAGGACAATAGGTTGCGGTCACCGGTGCCCTCGCGGTGTTTGACAGTTTAAGGAAGGTTTGTGTGTATAGTACATGCATATTGCACCCGTGCGAAGCCGGCCCGGGTCGCTAGTGTAAGTATATCTGGTAGTTCTCACCTCATAAATATGTTGATCGCCTTGCCTAGCCCGAGTTCGGAGTCGAGCGTGGTGGCGGCGCCGCACAGTGCTACCGCCAGCAGCAGCACCGTGTGCGTCCGTACCATCACACACGCACTGCACACCTGTAGACAATAAAATACCTTATAGTTAATGAAATAAGGTTGAAATTCTTGTGTACAGATGTGATTTGAATAAGAACTATTGCACACGCACAGCACTTATGCAGACAATAATAGACATTCGGTAACTTGGAATATGGTTGGATTTCGTGTCTCAGTTCATATGGAATAGTAGCAATATCGTGTGTGTTTGGAACATTTATTTTGTTATATTCGCGGGTAGGTAGACGACTTATTTATTAAACGTTGTTTTGATATTGATGTCAAAAAAATGCATTTCTTTAAAAAGATGTAATCCGATTTACCACATCAGACCACCAAAGATGGGGCCTAACAGGGCTGATGCCGATACGGAGCCGCGGAAGACTTAACGGGTTGCCGGGGCTCCCGAAGAAGTCATTGAATGATTTTCTCCCCTCAAAAAAAAAAGGTACCACAAAAACAGAAATTCTTTCAATAGAACTTCAACTTTATTACCAGAAGATACGGTCCAAAATCGAAAAAACTAAGGTCTAAGGTCATGAACTTAAGACTACATGTAACAGTAACACATTGGTCGTCAGGTAAAAACTCTAATCTGAAGGAGAGTAAAGAAATGCAAGAATTGTTTGTTTTTCTCTTTTCTGTGAGCTAAAGGGTGGCTTTAGTGCTATTCCTGCTTACCCCCGTAGGGGAAAGGCGTGATATCATGAGTTTCGTAAGAATTTGGGTACCTATACTCCGTCTGTTTAGGTAGTTAACTATTTGTAAACAAACCATAAAAAGAGTTCTTTATAGTTGACATTTCCATGATTCAAAATACTTCATAAGAAAATAAAATTGTTTCCCTTTTTACGACAGTTTTCTCTATTAAATGTTATGTTTCTGTTCCTTTTCACTTATTTCTTAATAAATATTAAATATATCTGCTTGAAAATATTAATTTAATAATATTTATTAAATAATATAATATTTCATTACAATAGACACCATAAAGAGCCTAAAATCCCAGGTATCCAAAACGTTTCTTTAAGAACGAAGCAAAATAATGTTGTCAAATTAAAGAGTACAACGAAGATGTAGCGCGACAATGAAAGTAGCGTGTATTACGTTTAGTCGGTTAATCAGGCGCCATTGACAGCTCTCTCGTCGTTTGCGCTCGCGTTCCTATTTTGTTGAATTTAACTTGTTTCTTTGTTTTGTTTTTGTTATTAGGTTATCCATCGTTTGTAATTAATGTGTTCAAATATATTGAAGAAACTTGGCCCAAAGACAGATATCCATACAAGAAAGAAATCCGTACATCAGATTCAGAATAGTTTCTATTTAAACATGATAATGAAATAGACCCATAGGCTAGGCTCTTGTACGATTTAGGCATTTGTACTTGTATGTGTGTGTATGACAAATGAACGATTTTAAAGTGAATTTAGTTAAAATCAAACACGAGAAATATTTGAAGTAATAGTAGGTTAAGTATCTCTGTGTCACGTGGTTTTCTTTGTTTACCTTTAGTTAATTACCTAAACAGATGGACTATAGATAGGTACTTAGCCATCTACATTAATTAGATAAGTACTTATTTTCAACTACATTTTTAAAAAAAACGTCGCTATGTGCCGGTTTTTACAACGCCTGGTAAATTTTAACTTAGGAATAACTTTGAATATTTTACAATATTTCCACAATAAAATCTGTTTAACCGTTCAAAGCCACCATACACACCATTATACTCCAACCCACAATTACATAAAGATCATTTTCCCATGCCACCCCCTTAATGTTAATTGTATTCTACAGTTAATAAAAATTAACTAACAATTGAAAAATTGGCCCTAACACTGCTTTTACAAATCATAAAGACGGTTGAATTAATTGAATGCTGTATTTGTAACGATTTATTTAGATAGTGGGTACTCGTTATAAATACTGTCATACAAAAATTATGTCATTCAAATCACCGGTAGTAATAGTTACATAACTAAAATCAGAAATTGAGATCACAATTCGGAATTCATTACATAATCAATTGACACTGATTCTATGAAACGGAAAAGCACTTTAATTCGTTATACATCACGAAAAAAGTCAAATAAAATTCGTTAAACATCACGAAAAAGTGAAATAAAATAGACAAAAAGTTTTGTCAGAAGTGGGATTCGAACCCACGCCCTCAGAGAGGACCAGAACAACTCGAACCTGTTTGACAGGCAAGGAAACCTTGAGTCTGGCGCCTTAGACCGCTCGGCCATCCTGACACATACGAATGTAGTCGAAATACGCGTTCGCGTTCACTAACAAAATGTTGCAGAGGCGCGGCTAATAGATGGCGCTAGGAACTACCAATGTATGTTGTATCTTGTATGATTGTTTTTTTTTGTGTGATAAATATTTTCATTTAATGTTGCAATCATTATCAATAAAATAAAATCCAGACATTATTAAACAATTTTAGATTTATTTGAATATTTGAAATAGCAAATACAAGCATGAATGTTACGTTACAGAAATGATTTGTCATAATTATGTGTGTGAAATCTATTGTTTCATTTAAATTAAATAATAATATTAAACTAAAAACGTTGAAATTTAGGACAAAATAGTTTTAATTATCAGAAGCTTTTGATTTTAAATGAACTGAAATGATATTTACTGTATAAATAATAATATTACATTCTAATTTTTGTCCAGAGTAGATAGAAAGGGGTATAATACGGTCGAATTGGGAAACGTCTTCTATTTTTGAAGTATTCTAAAAAACTGGGCTATGTTATTTACCAAGTACTGACAGACACAGACAAAGATGATCACAGATGATCTTACACATAATGACCTAAATTTCCAGTTTATCGTGGACCCACTTTGTATGATCATTCCGAACATTCGAAGGTCAGATTATACTGGATTCTAATAGGTCGATGTGTACCCTAAATGTGTTCAACTGTGACCCTGCATCAGCCACCTATTATCTAACAATGAGTATCTAAGAAGTAAGTGATGTGCATTCAGACCGAATTGTGTTTTTCTACTATATAAAAATAAGTCGGGTTTTCCTTCCTGACGCTATAACTCCAGAATGCACGAACCAATTTCCAAGGTTTAGCATTCGTTGGAAAGGGCTTCTCTTCTCGGGCTCCGTAAGGTTTATAGCAATGAAAAATCACTAATTACATAAAACGAAGCCATCTGGTAGCGAAACGGAGTTCGCCGGGTTTGCTAGTTATTAATATAATAACAATGTTTGACGAGGAACTGGACTGGTTTCCAGACACATCATACCTTACGTGTAAGTTCCATCGTAGACCGCATCATCGCTTACCACTAGGCAAAAAGCAAAAGTCGGCTCATCAAATATAATATATATATATATATATAAACACCAGGGGCTTAGGTATATTCAAGATCAATTACGATGTGCTGTTTTAAGAAATCATTATATGTCTATTGATAGCTTCTATACCTAATCATTTAATTGGCTTTTTGAGTACCCAGTTGAAAACCCAGAATTCCTCCAATGACTTCTCCCGTGTTATGTGAGCACAGAGGGAGTGTCAGACTCTTATTGGGTAAAAACCACTCCTACTCGTGCTTCGGGGCCCAGCTATTTGCTAGATCGTTCTCAGCTCCGGTCGCAAGCATTCGACATTGATCGACGCGGCGTCTCATCGATGAAACATCTTGCCCAAATAATTCGCATATCATCTATCATATTGACAACATGACAAATATAAACAAGAATCAATTCTGACCAAATAGTATTAAATTTTGTTTTCATACCTACATGTAACTTGATACACATTCTCCATTGCATTATTGACAAACAAACAGCTTGATTGACGTTCATTCAATTACATAGTATGTAATTTTCCGCATTTATTAACTATCTGGGTCATTCGGTAATAATGAAAGAAGTTTTGAAGTCAGTATGTTCATCAATAATTAGTTGTTAAGTTAATTGAATGCATTATTGTAGGAATTAGACCTTTAAAGTTCAGGTTTGAAGTAATTGTGAAGAAAGTTTACCTAATAATGTTCACTGTCAATCATCCACGGTCCGTGACGGTCCAGTACCTACTGGATTATGGTCTTCCTCATCATAAGAGGGATTCTAATTTACATGATTTTTTTTTAAGGGAGGTATATCATCCAATCATCGAATGACTTCTCCCGCTTGGGTGAGGCGAAAGGGAGTGTCAGACTCTTACTGACTAAAAACCACCCCATTCCTTCTCCTGCACTTCGAGCCGGAGCCCCGGTAACCCGTTAGGTTCTCCGCGACAATTTCCATGATTAGCACGTGGATTGGAGAATGTAGTTTAAAATGTTTAGGTATATCAGGGAGCTTATGGTTCTTTTACTTCTTGTTGTTCCTGCCCCCTATTCTAATCTACTTGGAGTCTGCACTGAGCGCAATATAACCTCATTTGCATCATCATCTAAAGCCATCACAAAGTCTTCACACAATCAAGCCATTCGTTCTCTTGTTCTTCTCCACCTTTTGGTTTTTATTATGCTTGCTAGGATGACGTTTGGCCACCATCTCGTCTGGTGGCAAGCGACGATGTAGCCGATAATGGAGCACGCCTGCCTATGAGCAACTTGGGACTCACTCGGAATTGGAAGACTTGCTACTTTTATTTCTTTCTAATAAGAATATTATTCTATTTCATTTTTGGGTATAATGGTCATCTCACTACAGGGCAAAACCTCCCTACCCTCTTTCCACTCGTCTTTGTGGCCTATCCTTTTAAGAGGCGTGCAGTTTATACCGCCATCACCTTCAGGGCCTACCACGATGTCTACTTACGTTACGTGGGCTCCACTCAGTAGTGAATAAGAATAATAGTACTAAATTACTTTTATAGAAATCAACCGTCTCATCCATTCGTTCCATGTTTAAGATGCGTGTGGAACTAATCACCAGTCAGGTTTGGGATTTTGGTTACTGTCTGATCTTGGATAGTAATCATCAATCAACCACGTGTGGGGTTCGGCCCATTTTGTTG